GTCGCGCGGCGACGCTCCCGCCGCCATGTCGCAGGGGTGCCGGCGACCCCGGGGAGCCCCGAGAAACCCGCCTGTCCAGGCGCCGCGCGGCTGCTGCCGGACAGGGAGGCGCCGGCGCCGAGCGGTAGGAGCTGAGGAGTGAGGCCCCGCTGCCGGAGTCGCGCTGTGGAGGAGGCGGTAAGAGGCGTCTGACAGCTGCGCTCAGCGCACTATCTCTCTTGGTTCCCAACACTGCTGCCTTTTGCAGTGCAGTTTCCTACATGGCCCGTCCTGTATTCGTGGAAAGTAATTCCTTAACATCTGCAGGGCTACAAAGTATCAAGGGCATTCATAAGCATCATACTTAAGAGATATTAATTAAAAAAGTATTTTAACTCCTAAATTCAGCACTGTTTACATAGTTTATGTTAAAAGTTGCAGCAATGAAGCCATTCAATTTGTTTTTCATCAGTGCCTGTCATGCAGAGTGCCCATATTCAAAGTTCAGGTGCTAAGCTACAGCCGTGATCACACCTGGAAGCAATCCCTGAGGTAGCAAAGTTAAATAAAAGAGTTCCAAGCCATCCATTTCACCTGCTCATTACTCACAAAGGTAATACTTGGTCAAAAGTATTAGATCAACCCCCAGCTTTGTAGGTAGAATGAACAATAAAAGTGTCTTCATTCCAGTAGGAAGTTGGGTGTCTGTCACCCAGGTCTTTCAGGATGCATCCATTACTAGCCTGAGCAAATGAGTTATGCAGCTCACTTCCACCACATTTAGAAAGACCTCTTTGCCATATATACACAGCCCAATCAAGTGTCATTTTACAGAACATTAACTCTGTATTTCTGAAATGTTTCCATGTCTGCCTGATTATTCCTAAACTCGGTCATGGTCTAATAGAAGGCTTTAAACTCAAAACTTTCTTGTGGAACAGCTGCAAGATAGTAACAGTGCTATTACAAGTTATTTAGCACACTACAGTTTATGCACCTTTTGCATAGTTTGCAACAAGACAAGGCCCACCACAGCCTTCAGTAGCCTTTCCAGGTAATCTATTTTAAATAACCTTTGGTAAGTACATTTTTCTTAGGACAAATAAAGTGTTGAATGTCTGTTTTTATCAAACAGTACTACTCTAAATAGCCTACTTGGAAAAGCTCTTTAAAGCTTCATAAAGCTTAACATTGCATATGCAAAAACCTGTTAGCTGGGAAAAATCTGCTCAGCAAGGCATTTGTTGTTACATCTTTATAGAAGAAACACTAGCCATTTTTAATACTTGACTTTCATACAACAGTTGCAATTACTTGTTTCTGTCTGTACAAAGCACTTTCAAGTGTTTGTCACAGCTTGCTTTTTACTTGAAATTCATGGGAACATTACATGCTGTACAGAACAATCAAGCTGCAGTTTTCACAAAAGGTGCCCTTTGAATATTTCTACTTGTGTACTTAACATTTGCATTTTGCACTTTCCTTAGATGTACGTATTGTGTTGTTGCTACTGCAGGCACACGTACCATGAACTGGAGAAAAAAATAAATTGATTAGTCTTGAATTAGTATTATCAAGTGATATTCTACAAATCTAAATATAAAAGTGTAATGCTTTCAGCACATACTTTATATACTTCAGTTGCTTGTATATTTAATATGTGCAAAATTTCATGGAACTTTTCTGAAGATTTGGCAAGAGGGAATTAGTTATGTTAACATTGAAGATTTAGCGCTCAGTTCTTTGGTTTCCCAGTTTTCTTCTTACCTTCATTTACCTGACAAACAATTACCAGGATTGGCTGTGTAATCCCTCTTTCCATTAGCTCCGAAAACCAGTACTTGACATATAGTATGATGGGCACTATATTTTCTTGTTAGACATAGGAAGAGAAATTACATGTACTTAGGTTCATCATGTCCTATGATGTTACCACTTTTATATTTCAAACATTGAAATATTGAAAAAATTGGTACAGATACAGAGACATTTCAATATCTAATTAATACTATAAAGCCCTTTTGAAATCTTTGACTGTAGGTGCTCGGCCTCACCAACACAAATGGTCATGGTTTGGTTCTATAATAGAGAACTTCAGGGAAGTAATTAATTTTCACATTCTGTAAAGTTGCATTTATAGACCAAAATGTCATTAGGGCTGCTTTTGCATGAGTTTATACGAGTTCTATAGGTAGCTGTGGGACAGATGGAGAACAGCTACCCCAAAGCAGACCAAAGACATAAAGCATGTGCGCTAAGAGACAGAGTGTGAAAAAAAATCTCCTAAGAAATGAAACCTTGAGACAGTAAACGTGCTGAATCCACAAGTGATAGATTCAGTACACCAAGAATTTGCCAAATCTGTAGAAGGCCACCAACACACATGCATTAGCAGGTTGTGTAACAAGCCACATCCAAGAAAGGAGCATCTCTGACTGCTGCAGCTACACAAGGTTACAGCATCATAAACACATCAATGGAAGAAAGGATGCCTTAAATAACCATCTGACCAACTGCCAAGAAGTTACCACCATGTCAGTACGATCTGCTGCTTCCAAATAAACTTTCAGGCTGCTACCTGAATTGCTGAAACTCAGGTAAATGTTTAGTGATCGTGTGTGTATGCAATTGGACTAGGTGACAAAAAATAGGCAAACACTGTGCAAATAATAAGTAATAAGAGTTTGATTCTATTAATAAACAATTTAAATAAAAAGATACCCTAACTTTCAGTGTTATCTGTGTCTTCCCTGACTTGCAAGTGAATAAGAAGTATTTTCTAACAAAGCAATAGCTTTTGTCAAGTGCCAGCAGATGGCACTATCAGGCTATATCAATACTAGATTCTGAACTCCTGATTTCACTGTAATCCGGTAGTCTATATTATTTACTATGACAATAGCTTACTCATTTTATCAATAATAGGGAAGAAATGTATGTGTATTGTAACTGTAAGAATCTTGTAGCTGCTTGTTTCATTGCTTATATTACTTAATTCTATACATGCAGTATGTTCCTTGCAGAACTGCAAAGGAGCTTGGGACAGGGGGAAAGCAAATGAACATATTTCACAGTCAAGACATCTCCATTAAGTGCTGTGGTCCAAAAATCTACATGTACACAGCTAGTCCTTCCTAATTTAGGAATGTTAACTATGAACTTAAACCACCAAACACATGTAAACACACACGCTGTCAGCACTAAACAGCTTTATAGGATAGAAACAAATATACTCTTGAGTTAAAAAAAAAAAAAAAAAAGTACAGTCTCTGGGGTGTTTGGAAAAACTAATCTATGAGGGAACTGCTTGGTAAACAAACCACTGCTCTGAAGAAATAGTTTCCCAGCTTCACTGCAGAGCTGACTCACATGGTTACCCCCTTTATCTATATAGGTAGGTTAGCCTAGCCCAAATAGCCACAGTGCTCTAACCATTACCCTGATTTCACTGTTACAGTGTTGCTTAAACTTCGCTTATAGTAGAGTTAAGCTTTGCTTATAGTAGAGTCTCCCCCCACACACCCCATCTCAGCTGGGAACAGATTCAGCATCTCACAGCTGGAAAAAGTCTTTGGCTGCAAAGAAAAGTGATAGAGCCAAGTGCTCCTCTGATATAAGGCTATAGATTGTAATACTAATGTATAAGGGTTCCAATAGTGCCATAGGCTTTAGATTCCCATACCCATCACCATAGGAGCCCAATTTCAGCTCAGCCCAGGACTTCAGTCTGTGTTCAAGTTCATCATCAAGAGAACGTGGAGATTATTATGCTAACATAGCTAATAAAGCAGAACCTCACCCATGCCGGCCCAGCATTGCAGTACCACAGCAAGGCAAGCAGACCCTAGGATAGCAGTCCAGATCAACAAGGTGTCTCCATCATCAGACAAACATAAAAGCTGTGAGGCAGGTCCAGGCTCAAGCTGGGAATGAAAATTACCAGATTTTGATCAAAAGCAGATCTGATGAAGATCATCAGGAAGGTTCATCATGACCAGGCAGATCCAAAACCAAGTTGGGAAGTCAGTCTGTGAACAAGGGTCCAGGCCAACAAAATGCATAGACAGAACTGATACAAACCCTATGTATGGTTTCATTTTAACTCAGTCAAGGAATAAGGCTGAGGGCTGAGCTTAAATGGGGCTCAAGGGTGGGGTGGAGGCCCCAGGTGAGGCTTGTCAGGGCCATTAAGCCTATTAGTGTAGTAAGGGTCCTGACAGAATGATACTTTTCTTAATATAGCAGGAACTATTAAAAGGAAAGAAAATAAAAAAAAAAAAAAAAAAAAGGAGTTGCTTTATTTGTCTATATTTCAAGGCCCTTCCAGACAGTGCTCTTCTCAAACAGCTATTGATAGGCTTTTCCTGAGGTTCACCAAGCATCAGAAGGTTCATTGTATCTTGTCTTCTTTTATTATGTTTCTGCCTCATGTGTCTCCTTCAAAACGTGGTTTGTAACATAGTTGATCTAAAGGCAGTCTGAAAATGTGATCTCAGTACCCTTCTCCAATTCTGGACGAGGGCACATTCTTCCCTACTCTCTTGTACAAGCAGTGGCATTCATCTTGCCATAAAATGAACAACCTCACCCACGCTGAACCAGCAGAAAACTATTTCCTGTCTTTTATAAGACAATTTTCCTACTGGTTTAGTACTCTAAACAGGCTTGCTGTATGGTCATAAAAATGCCAGAATGGTACAAGGAGAGCAGTGGGAGGAGTTCACAGTTAGAGGCAAGATAGAGAGCAAGACCTGCTCTTCTAGCAGCAGTTAACTATTAGAATATAAGAAAACTTAGACTAAATTCTTGCCCTGTCACGCATAATTAGATTGCATCCCACCGTGTTATCTTTCTCTCTTAATTCTAAAGTCAACTTACAAGTTGAAAATCTTCTACCACTCATCTCTTTCCCAGCTTTATTTCTGGCCAATGCTTTGATATGTGACTCCTATTGTTTTAGTTATCGTAACCATTTATGTGCTTCCTCCTTTTGCCTAATGTGTGAGAGAACGTTGCACTGAGAAGCTTTTTTATTCCCAGTCTTATAGGAGACACTTCTTTCCATGGAGAAATACTTGTTTCTGTGCAGTCTGCAGACTGGCTTAGGCAGCTTGTGTAACAGGAAAGCCATCTCTACCAATTAACACTGTTGCTTTTCTTTTTGTTATTTTTCAGTTGTTGAGAATTCAGAGAGTCCCTTCCCTGCTTCAGTGGCCCTGCCAACCAGCTTTGGTTATGTCTAGCGGTGCAGCTGTACGTTATTGCGCTTCCTTGTGCAGTGCTGTTTTATTCAGATCCTTATTTCATAGGTTTAATTTAAAAGTTTAACTGGTTTAGGGTTCCAAGTTTTTTTCTTCCTTTACAATTAGAGAAATACATCTTCTAAGGCATTCTGCATAGAGCTTCTCAGTGCAGAAACTGCTTTTAAAAATAACCCACTCTCAAATTATCTTTAGCAAGTTATAAAGTTTTCTGGGCTGTGACATTTATGTATAATACTGATAGGACAAATTCCTTCTTTGTTCCTCAGTAGAGATTCGGTTTTAGGTTTTGTGTTCATAGTTCATGCCTAGAGTTTAAGAATTCTGTGTCATACATTATAACCTTAACTTTACTGATCTTCGTATGTCCCTCATTTGTAACCCAAGTTTTGCTGGAGATTCAGCCTCAGTTACAAGTACAATCATATCCAAGCAATATATTCAAATAGTCTTGTCATTAAATATTCTTACAGAAAGGAGACTTTTTAACAGTACAAACATCATATTCATGCTCCAGTTTTCTATCTCATGTCTTCATTTTACTCAACAGACAGTCTGTTGAAATGCCAATAGGATTTGAAAATAGAAGATGTCTTTCAGCTCTGAAAACCATGATAAAGTGGTTCACACATTCTTTGTATCTTGTACAAAGAGATATCTATGCAAATGCCGATTATTTTTTTCCCATCTTATATACAATCTTGTATTTTTTATTCCTGGTTTTAGTGACCGGAGTTTTAGTGTGATATTGCAAAGACTTCTAATATGGCTGTGATTTCCAACCACATACATTGTTTTGCTGCCGTTTTACTCAGTTGGCATACAACTGCATGTTCTTTATTTTTCAGTGGAGACCCTGGGAACTCACACAATTTGATCAATTATGATAAAAACTGTCATCTCTTCCTGTCTATGACCAATCAGGTCTATGTTACTACATGAGAATGTGTAAAAAAGTTACTGAGTCTGAGCAGCAAGTTATTGCCAAGATGCCTTAAGACTGTTTGCGTGCTGCCAGCCCTTGCAGTGCGAAATCAAACACATTGGCTCCTTCCCCCATACCATGCCTGTATGTAGCTGTCTCTACCTTTGCACTTACTGGTGCTCCTGCAGCTGAGGTGTGAGTTTAGGCTCTCAATGAGGTAAATTTGAGCCCAACAAAGAAAGTTATTACTGTTCTCTCAGATCAAGTTAGCAAATCAATTCAGGACCCCGCACAGATGCGGGGCCAGGGCCAACACAACAGAGAAACAGATATGCGTGGCAGATAGGATGTGGCTGCAGCTGTGTCAGTTTATATCAATTTAAGCTACTGTAAACCCTACTCAACTAAACAGTGTAGTTGAATATTCTGTCCTGAACAGTAGATTTTGCTGGCCTACAAATGGATGTCATGTAGATTTAGCAATGATCAGGGATTCCTTTAAAGATTTTACAATAATTACTGATGTAATCATCTACGAAGTTGACAAAATCAGTAGTCCTATGTCAAGAGAGCTCCTGACCGGAAAAAAATAATTTTATGGAAAATGAAAGTCATTTTAAAAGTGATTTTAGATCAAAATAAAGTCTGTCAAAAGAGTTTTTTCCAGCTCTGAAAAATCTGAAGTATATTTTGCTGATCACTGCAACTCTTTCTCACCTAACCCATGTATTGGTTTTGCAGTGTTGAAAACCTATAAATAACCTGTGTATAATAGAAGCATATTCTTAGAAAATTTAGAATACTTGCATAAGTCCAGCAAGCAGTCTAGCAGAGTATAGATTTAGCTTTTTCTGTTATTGGTTGAAATTATTTTCTCACAGATTGTCCAAAATAAATTACCTTTTTTTTTTTTTTTTCTTTAACAAGTGCTTATTTCTGTGGCTTTAATTTCACACTGTCATCCCTAAGCTTATCACATACTATTTGTAAATGTAACAGATCTTCCTCAAAGGTTTTCGCATGCACAAAGTTATGCGCTAGATACAGGAAATGTGCAGAGCAATTCTGTTCAGTACCATCTCCATTAGCCTTGCAAACGTGGCCAATGTATCACATAAGCCAAAAGACATCACTTAGTTGCCTCAGGCTATGAAAGTAGTTTTGTTCTTTATATCCACTTCTGCTTGCTCATATCCACTTCACAGACTGAACCTGTTACATTTTCCAGAGTACTATCCATTTCTGCTTAAGGTTATGTTAAACTAGAGTAACTGTTTAGTTTATCGTAGTCCGCATAGAATCTCTTTTTGCCTTTCCCGTCACTCTGCCTTTTTTTGCTGTTATACTTCCCTGACTGGATGGGCCTTCTTTCTTCCTCATCCTGTAAAGATTCTTCCTTTTTTTGGCAACAAAATCTCAAACACACAGCTGCCAAAATAACTCTTTCTATCCTGCATCTACATTCTTCACACAGTGCAACCTTCTGTCCACATCATTCAGAGTTCTGACCTATCTGAAATTTGGTCTGTTTGCTGTAGCATCCTCTGTTCAGCCATCCCTAACCAAGGGATTACTTAATTTTTCCTTCAGTTACCTAGGAAGGGAAGAGGTGCGTTTCAGCCACTGGTTTGTGATCTTCACAAATGTTTCAAACAAACCAGAATACAATCCTTGGATGCATTTCCTGCAACTATCAGTAACAGTTTTTTTGGGCAACATAGAAAACAGAGCAGACATTGTAAGACAGTTTGCTAGCCTGCAAATAGAAGCTGAAAAGCAGCAAAAGCACAATTTTTGATGTATGCTTTCATGGATGACAGAGAAGCCAGAAACCTGTCTCCTGGAACTGAGCAAAAGTGCCAGGCTAGAGGTTCGTACCAAAGCGGTACTCTGTTACCAATCCCACCAAAAGGAAAGAGAAGTTGTATATTTGCAAATAAATAATCTGTTGAGAAGAATCCCAACTCTTTCACTAGCTGCTTTTATGAATGGGACACTTGTCTATCTGATGTAGGATGTCTGCTACTGTTTTGCAGGGGGAGATTGGTCCGAAAGGGCATTAATCTCTTTTTTCAGACACCTTGACAGAGTGCTCTGTCATGAGAGCTTTGGTAAAGCAGGATTCTCCCTTCACAATGAAGGCCACATGAATGTGCTGCTTACACAGTTCCTATAGTTGTTAGAATAAAAGCGCAGTAAGGTTCAATTACCTGTTTGCTTTTTGGTTTTCACAGTAGCTCCTGCTTCAAAGCAGGTATCTGACCAGTTGGCCCCTGTGCCAATGACAGGGTGGGTGACTGAGTATGTGACACTCCTCAGGCAGAACATATTCATTAATTAAGTAGTGCAGTGCAGACAGAGGCTGCATCGTGCTGTGACAATGGTCAGGCCTCTTTTTTTTTTGTAGTTAATTGTTTAAACAACAACAAATCATGTTGCTCTGATGGTCTGTGTGCCTTCCTCTGCTAGACCTGATTTGTATGGTGAGGACAGGCTCCTGAAAGGAAGAAGAGAGAAGGGCCTGAATTATCCCCTGAGAGTTTGTTAAGTTTGTCCTTGTAAATGGAAAGTGAGTGAAATATTTTGTCTGTAGCGGGGAGCAGAGTTGTAACTGTCAGGAACAGCTGGAACATATATACTGTGTCATTTCTTTTTTGTGGTACTGGCATTTTCTGCTTGCTGTGGGAATGCTGCAGAGGCATGCCAGCATTTTGCTGAGTAAGTGTGGTGTGAGCTCCATGTGTAAACAGGGATCAGTCACTAGATGAGAGAAAAGGGCTGTTCTCCCAGGGACTAGGGCTGTCTCTTATATGCACCCCAAACTCCACAGGCTTCTATAAATTATATTTGAGGGTAGAATTTTAATTGGACACCTTGCAAGTATGATCCAGT